TAAATAATTTTGGAATCATGTGAAATTTGATATATATATATATATATATATATATATTATATTGTACCTATAATAATATTTTTTGTATATCATTGTATGTAACATTTTTTTGTAGTGATTCAATTTCTCCTCTCTTTTTCTCTCTCCTCAATCTTGTCTATCGTCTTTCTTGTTTCTCTCTCTTCTTTCTTCTCTTCTCTCCTTTCTCGCTCTCTCTATAACATTGTGTTGTGTGTTGTGATTGTTATATTATTTAAATATTTTATTTAATTGAATATTTGTTGATATGTAGTTTTAATGTTTTAGAACTTTAAGAATTAAGGAAATTCTTATGAGTTTAATTGCTGGGAGTTGTTTTGATTTAAGGTCAAAGTTGACTAAGATTTGGAAAAGTATATAAGGTTTTCTTAAGACATGAATCTCATAAGTTCATTTTCTTAAGAATTATAGAGAAATTTTAAAGATATAAACTCTAAAACCAAAGGAGATTCTTCTTCCTTCTAACTTCACTAGAGAGTTTTGATCCTTTCTTGGAGCACCTTTTGTAGGAGTTAAGTTGTGATTTAAGGTTTGGAAGTTGAGAATCATAGTTTAGAGTCGTCTTATAATGGGAGCTTGAGAGACCATGTTCTCTATTGTTCTTCCTTTTCTTCCATTTTACTTTAAGACTTGAGATAAGAGAAGCTTGTAGATTAATCATGTTGAGTTGCATGTGTTAATTTTTGGTTTTTTTTCCTATTGGTGTCTTTGATTGCTGAATTTGAAGAGAAAAAATCTTGGTGTTCTTGGTAAAATGATAAGGAAATCGATGATTTGTGAACTGGCCTGTCGGGTGTGTCCCCCTTTTTCTTCTTCAATTGTAAAGCTAGAGTTTTTTTTTTTTTGGGTGAAGGGTTATGTGATGTATTATTCTGATGTTTTTTTGGTTGTGTAGTGGCTCGTTTTGACTTTTCATGGCATGACCCTGAGTATCACCAGGAGACTTTGGAGAATTTGAAGGTTGCTGTCATTGTACCGGAGAGACCGTATCGGTCACGTGGGCCAACACGTGCCATTTCGTCAGACACTCATGCATAGTAAGCCACGTACAAGCATCACCATCAACGTCGGCTCGGCATGAGGTCGAGAACCGACATCAGTCTGGTTAATGCCAATATGGACCATCATCACTCATCGAGTCGGCTCGGTCAAGTACCGTTCCGACATAGATCGTACCGGAAGTATACAAGCTGCCGTATACGGACTAGACGGCTCGGTCATTTGCCGTTCCGACTAGTATTGAATAGTCGGCTCGGCCTCTTGCCGAAGGGTTAAACAAGTCATAACGGTAATCACAATTAAGAAAGGTAAGTACATGATTAAAGCCTAACAACCAATTAGTACCGTATTACCTAATTTGGTAAATATCTGAGAGGGCCCATCACGCTCAGGCCCATGTCAGATGCTATAAATAGGTCACACATAACAAGGTATGTCACTGTTCATTAATTATCCTAGAATATCGTGCTTATCCTGACTTGAGCGTTGGAGTGCCTTTTGCAGGTACCTCCCCCCTCTGAAGAATCCGTTTGAAGTATCCGTTCGGCCCTTCTTACCAAGAAGACTACGAGTGTATCCTTAAGCAGGTACATTATCTATCCAGGTTACTAGCTTTGAGGGTAGAGATGATAAAATAAACTAAGTTGCAGGGTGGTTTACCATGTCTGAGAAAAAATGTCCAATTAAATTTAGGATTTTCCTTCATGCTTTTTTCCGAAAGAGGGTTTCGGTTGTAATATTGAATAGGATTGTGACACGTTTTATTATGTCCACCTCATCGATGTCTTTGAAATTGATATGGAATTCATTAACCCGTTTAGGATCCAACCCATCTATCCCAATGTTTGAATCCAAAATTGAAATATTCTTTTTGTTCATTGTGTACGATATCAGCTGTATCAGTTTGTCACGGTATCCCAATTTCATTACCTTATTTAAACTACACCCGTTG